GAGTACAAGAAAAGTTTCTAGAGACAACAAAGTGACGATCATAAGGTCAATATTTATTATGACTATTATACTAAAGAATAGTTTATCAAAAATGAAAATTTCCCGCTCTCAAACTTTTGTATTTTATCAATAATGATGCTTATTACACTAATACTACGAGATATTACTATACTACCAGATATTACTATTACTTCAAATTATTTGGACATATTCTCACAATCTACAAAAGACACATAAAAAAGGTACCATTCATTTGTTAATGCACCACCGGCATATTAGTTGGCACTAAAGTAAAACTAAATGACAATCATATTACTTGTGCAATCTTGATCAACGTCACATACTTGGCAATATCACTTTCATCAATTTCAAAAACTATTTTTTAAACCTCCATTTGGAGCCGATTTTCTGGTCCAAAAAATGGATTTTTTGGCTGGTACATAGCGAGGTAGGTCCCATCAGTGTGAGATAAAAGTCAAAAAGTGCCGCTGAAATTGAAACTCAACGGTGCAAAATTCATTTTTTGAAACTCAAGGTGGATGAACATCAACTGGAACAACTCCATAAAGTCATAACTCATATATGCAACTATAAATGAAAAAAAAATTAAGGAGGTTAAATTGATCGTTTTTACATGGAAAAGTGGAATATTTTGAATCAATGCTACTCCAATACTAGCAAATCTGTGGCGTAGATATGTTAAAAAGAATAGATTTTTATAGCCCGTTTGGTAGAGATTAAAATCGGATTAAAATTGAAAAACTAGCCGTTATTGTTGACTTTTATTAGACGAGTGGGGTCCAATAACAGCTATATTTTCAATTTTAATTGGATTTTAATCGGTGCCAAACGGGCTCTTAACCTTTTAAGCTTGACCAAACATGCTCCATAACTCTAAAACTAGTCGAAGTACCCACAAGAGTTCACTGCAAGTAAATACGTAGTAAATGATGTATACATATGATTAATCATATTCCCACAACAATAAAAGGAAAACCAAAACTAACCCAACAAAAAAAATAAAATTGGACTCAAAATAATAATAATAATAATGTCCGTCTTGACACCTCTAATTTTTGAGTGAGATTTTGGAAATTTTGAAAACTCAAGAAAGAAAATGAATTAAATTGGATGATTGGGATGTAATTTGAATTCAAGAAAGCGATTCTTAAATTTGACACAATAGATAACGTAATTGGCAGGCAATTTTCGAGATAAATAATATCAAATATACGTTTTTTTTTTAATTTGACTTTTCACAGAATTTTATGAATTTTTAGATTTTTTTTCCTAATTTTTTTTACTCAAAATTCAAATATGACACAAGCAAAGAAAATTGAAGTTGATTTGGATACAAAATGAGCACAAAAACAACTTTTGAATTTTTGACGGGAAAATTACGGATCAAAGGACTTAAATAGAAGAACGCAAGAAAAGGGAAATAAAGACTCAAACGAAAAAAGAAAAGGATATAACCTTAATTTCGGATCCTAAATTCTGATATCAATTGATGTGAACCCCACGTAGCGAAGAACTACGAAACCCACTATTAGATTAAAATCGAATCCAAGAAAGTCAAAGTAATCAAAGTTTTGAATTTGATTTGAGAATAACGAATCAAAATGGTCAACAATCAAAATAACCAACAATACGCAACCGATATGTTGACCATTTTGATTAAATATTTGATAATCTCACCCGTTGAACGCTACAAAAAGAATTTTGGTAAGTTCGTGATTTGTTCAACGAAGAACAAGAATTCGAAAGCAATTTGCCTCTCAATAAATTTCAATAATAATGTTGTGTATTACAATAAAAAGAATGAGTTTTATTTATAAGAAACCCATAAAATCTAGGTAAAAACGAAATTAAGCTAAAAAAAAATAACAAAAAAAATTACAAAATGGAGTTTTAACTTAAATAGAAGATTACACGAAATTTGAAAAAATTCGCGACCAGAATGAACTATGCTTCCTTGTCCATTGCTTAAATCATGTTAAAGCATCTGGTTTCTCCTCCCAAACCCAGCACAAAACTTATTCATTTACTTGTTGTGATCAGTGTTTCGTCCACCGTAACTTGAGCTAGCAATTTCATCGCCTCTTTCACCCGCTTTGCTCTCGACCGTGTCATCGAACCTCCTTCGATAATCAACGAATCATTTCTCGGGCTTGACTTTGACGCTATCGACTCCATGCTCACATAAGCTTCTTAGCAACTACTTAACAATTTTTCAACTTCAAATGGAAAGAAGAAATCCATAACCGACGTGCCTCCTTCATCTTCTTGCCCTAGAAATTGAACATACCATGCACTTGAAACAAAAAAGGGCAGAACCCTTTGGGTTCATTTGCAGAGGATAAATGATGGCCCCATATATTTTCTTTAATTACTTCTTGCTCCATTTTGTGCATCTTGGTTCTTTTATTTTTGTCAAATGCTCCACTTTTGATGCCAAGAATCATAATGGTTCCTTTTTTTGTTTGAATTTGCCTGACAGAGGGTTGCGGTGGATTTCTATTGAATTAATATCAAGTTTCTTACCATCTGTCTTCCTTCTTCTTGTCTGCCATTAAATGAAAGAATTCGATTTCATTTTTCAAATCCAACAAGTGGAATTATATAAGGCTGACATTTTGCTTCTCTTCCATTGGCATCATCAATAATTGATTATGGTGGTTGTTTGCTTTGATTTTTCACTCCCTGTTGGAAATTTCCTTTTTTTTTTTATTCGTTTTTTTGTAGTCCCCTTTCATGGTAAGTTTATTCAACCCATAGTTGGAAGTAGCCATATTTCATGGCCGATTTTTCAACTCGGGTCTCTTCAACCCTTTTCCAGTTATTGCATTTTCTTCTTCTCTGGTTGATGTTGTGTTCGCTATTGTGCAGTAGAACAAACTGCCCAAAATCATATTTTCAGTGGCTTTGAGATGTGATAATAACATGGTTAATGTATAGATTCCCACAGACGACGACAAGGATGTTACCAAAAATCCTCACTTGTCAATTCTCGAGCTTGAGGATTGATGATGATCACGAACCAAATCTCCAGCACTTGAAACAATCCAATGCTTAAATTAGCAAAAAATGGGAAATATAAGCGTAAGACTATAAATTGAATGTAAGAGCATCGCTGAATAATGAATTGGGACCTGTATTTATAGAGGTAAGTAGCACACTCTTTATAGGATTATGATACTTGAAATCTTATCTATTTAAGAGCTGTAAAAGATTTAAGTTTTCAATAGGAGGAGTTATATGCCAGAACAGTGAAAAAAAAAACGTGTCTTTCATTTTGAAGATAGCTTAACATGAATTTCAAACTCCTCGACGAACCGAAGATAATCAGCGACAAAATTAACTAAGTGGATCCATAAGTCCATCTATTGCAAGTACTTTGTACTTATATACAAAATTAACTAAGTGGATCCACATACTAGTTTTCACAAATCTATCCCATTCAAACTTAAATTAAGTTTTACTTGAATCTCAAATCCTCAATATATCAAGCGTTACGAGTATATAGTGATCAAAGATATGACTACACCTAAATACATTCACTAATCTCTATCACGTAATGATCAAGTGAAGATAAAAACTCTCAGAAGTCCGTCCATAGAGGTTTGAGGATTTGATAAGATTAATTTTCTTAATAGACTAATGGCATGTTTGGTATATCTTTTGCTTCATGTAAAAATATTTTTTGAAGGAATTCACAGCAATTTTTGTCTGGAAATTAATCCGAGAGTGCTTCTAGACGAAACAACATTTGACTAACGTTCACTAAAACCTTTTCCAACTTGAAAAAATATTTTAATAAAATTAGTCAAACACGTTCAAAAACAATTTTTGAGCCTAAAAAGTTTATTTTAGGTTTTCAAAAGTCATAACAAACGAATACTAAAACCTCTCGAAATTGCTCAAAAGACATATCTATTACCTACGAGTACAAGAAAAGTTTCTAGAGACAACAAAGTGAAGATCATAAGGTCAATATTTAGCCCTTGTCTGTCTACCATTATTTCAAAGAATTGTTTGCTACAGTAAAATTCACCACCACACATTCACCCAATAAAATATTCTACACACAAACCAATAAAGTTACTTTAAATTTCAACTATACATTCTCCAAAAAATAATATTCATTGCTCTATTTTTATTCCAATAATGGGAGACAAACACACTTTTATTATGAATATTATACTAAAGAATAGTGTATCAAAATTGAAATTTCCCGCTCTCGAACTTTTGTATTTTATCAATAATGATGCTCATTACACTAATACTACGAGATTTAACTATAACTTCAAATTATTTGGACATAGTTCTTTTAATAGATTCTCAAAATCTACAAACATGACACATAAAAAGGTACCATTCATTTGTTAATGCACCACCGGCATATTAGTTGGCACTAAAGTAAACCTAAATGACAATCATATTACTTGTGCAATCTTGATCAACGTCACATACTTGGCAATATCACATTCATCAATTTCAAAAACTATTTTTTAAACCTCCATTTGGAGCCGATTTTCTGGTCCAAAAAATGGATTTTTTGGATGGTACATAGCGAGGTAGGTCCCACCAGTGTGAGATAAAAGTCAAAAAGTGTCGCTGAAATTGAAACTCAACGGTGCAAAATTCATTTTTTGAAACTCAAGGTGGATGAACATCAACTGGAACAACTCCATAAAGTCATAACTCATATATGCAACTATAAAGTGGAATATTTTGAATCAATGCGGCTCCAATACTAGCAAATCTGTGGCGTAGATATGTTAAAAAGAATAGCTTTTTAAGCTTGACCAAACATGCTCGATAACTCTAAAACTAGTCAAATTACCCACAAGAATTCACTGCAAGTAAATATGTAGTAAATGATGTATACATATGATTAATCATATTCCACAACAACAGAAGGAAAATAAAAACTAACCCCCAAAAAAAATAAATCGGACTCATAATAATAATAATAAAAGAAAAAAACCTTAATTTTTTCAGTTGTTGAATGCATCACATCTGCGCCTAATCTCCCCTTTCCCTTCACTCTTGACACCATATACACTCAACTTCTCCATTGCAGCACCAAATGCTTCAAAAAACGCCGTTTGATTTTTCGCATAAAGATCCACATATTGCTTCGTTCTCGGATCCAAATACAGAGCATGATCCGACGAAAGAAGCCCTAATCCTTTCGGCAAGTTCTGGAAATACATATTATCGAATTTGTTTGGACTCATTACATCATTGAACACAGATAATGTTGGGTTTTGATGATAATTTGCGCAGGCATCTCTCAGTGCTTGGGAAAATCTGGGATTGTAAGATGGGGCGGATTCTGATGTTGTGCTATAGTTGTATAAAATGGAGCTGAATTCTTTGCAATGGGAAAATCCGATTGTGTGTGCGCCAGAGAGTACCACCATTTCTTGAACGGAAAACCCCCTGGATTCGAATATTTGAATGATTTGATTCATCGGCATTGTGGCTTTCGGCAGATTGCCGTCGATTGAAGAAGCTGTTGAGATTAGAGAATCCTTCCGGCCTAGTTTTACGGAGTAATAAGGGCCGCCCATCATCAAAACTAGGTTTCGGGCCGCCACGGCGAGGATATCGGCGCAAGAGACGACGCCGGGGCAGGCTAGTTCCAGGGCGGTCTTGGCACGGACCACCTGTTAAGGATAAAATTTCACCTCGATTTGAGAAATTAAATTCGATTTTACTTATGAAAACGATAAGGTCGAGTTAGTCTACTTACCACATCGAAGCCATCGCCGGGGAGGGAGAGATTGATGTCAGCATCTCGCTCAGCCTTGTTGAAAGGGGTGGAGGAGATGAGGACTGAGGCGTCGCAGCCGCCGACAAAGCAGTCATGGAAGAAGAGGCGGAGGGTGGCGGCGGCAGTGGTGGGGGATGAGATCTGCTTGTTGGTGGTGGTGTCTTGCAATATTTGCTCAAATCTTGGGCAAGTTTTTTGGTAGTAATTTGTGCTCAACAATGACTGCCTCTGGGAATATGAAGTAGTGAAAAACAGTGAATAAAAACATAGAAACAGAAACAATGGCGACGCCATTAAAATGAACTGTAATTCTATTTGCTGCTGCTGCTGCTGCTACTCTTTCAGCAAAATTTTTGCTGGATTACTGTCTCTTTCCAAGATTTTAGAGAGAGAAAAGTTGGGTTGTAGAGGAAGGGAGTGGATTAGTGTAGGAACTTGAGTGCTTTTTTAGAGAGAGGATCGCCATTTGAGCACCGCTAATCACGGGATAAATGCTGGAAGTGGGGGCCTTCGTGAGGTGGCGCGTCGGTGCTATTTTGTAGTTTCCAGTTCAGGTTCCAGCGTAGGGATTTAAATTACCATAAAACCCTTATTTAAGATGTAAATTACCTGATTTACTGGGAGTTGGGTATGGTATAAAAAAGAGGGTAATAATACTTGTAGGGTTAAATTTACTAGTGGCCACCTAACTTTAAACTTTGTGTCATTATGGTCACCCAATTTTATTTTGTTGTACCACGACCACTCAACTTTATACTTAGTATTATCATGGCTACCTAGTTTGATTTATTTCACCAAGCCCTCCAATTTCATATAGCGTTTCACTATGATCACCCAATTTTATATCAAGATGGCAAAAAAGCTCGACGGCTAGAGCTCGACTCGAAAAAAACTCGAGCCTGGTCGGCTCGGTTCCACCGAGCAGAGGCCCAGGTCGACCCATCTAGCTACGAGCCGAGCCCGTTAATAATTAAAAAATTCGAAACAACAGGAAAAAAAATAATAATAATAATAAAATGATTTCGCTGCCTAGCTTTGAAGAAAAAAACCCGAGCTTTTGCTCGGTTTGGGTAAAAAAAAACTCAAACCTTTTTGGGTCAAGCCGAGCCCGAGCTTTAAGTTTCGACTCGTGGCTCGGCTCGTTAACATGGCTAATTTCATATAACATTTCACCATATCCACTCAACTTCTTTTTACTATTTTGATTAATTTTAAAATGCGTAAAACGGTAACTTTGCATTATATATATAAAATAAACTTTAAAAAATTAAAATAAAAACTTATTTTAAAAAACAAAATAAAATAAAAACTTATTTAAAATTAATTACTTAAAACAATAAAATAAAATAAAATAAAATAAAAACTTATTTGAAAAAAAGTTACTTAAAAAAATAAAATAAAATAAAAAATTATTTTATACTAAACGTTCAATTTTTTTTTAAATAAGTTTTTTTTTTAATTTATTTTTATATATAATGTAAAATTACCGTTTTACCCTTTTAAAATTAACGAAAATTGTAAAGAGAAATGACCATGGTGAAATGTTATATGCAATTGGGTGGTTATAGTGAAACGTTATATAAAATTAAATGGCTTGGTGAAATAAAATCAAATTTGGTGATCATGATGACATTAAGTATAAAGTTGGGTAGTCACCAATAAATTTAATCCCTTGTACATAATGTAGTTCAATAATGATTTACATATAAATGAAGTGTCAAAAAGAGAGTAGATAATTAACTTTACGGGATATAAATAACTTATAAAAATGAATAGTGGTAAATCTCAATAAACGCGAGAATAATTATTAGTATTTATGATTGTACTATTGAAAATAATGTTTGAATTTATAAATTAATTTTAATGATACTCATGTATACAGGTACATGTTCAACTTTACGGGTGGCAGTGGTAGTCCAACTTTAATTGTCGAATGAATAATGCAAAACAAATTTATGATAGGTTTAATTAAATGAAAAATCATGCAATTAATTTAATTATACATTTTATTTAATTACATATTGTGTCACTTAAATTCGTATTGTAACACTAGTGATATTAAAAGCTTGTTTGAGAGAGATTTTTTGGGGAAGAATTGATTTTGAATAGTGATATGATGGGAAATGTATGGCTGAGAAAGAAGAAAAAATTATTGATGTGATGAAAAATATTATTTTATTGAAAAATGTGCGGTTGAAAATGAGAATTGATTTACTGTAGAAAAATTTAATTCCTCCCAAACAGGGCATAAATAACATTACTCTTGTCGAATGAATCAAATGCATTACAACATTGCTTGGCAATTTAAAGCAGAATCCATTGTCACCTAGATTGGTGCGATTACATTAATTCTATTAAATGTACAACGTGAAATTAATTATCAATATATTGCTCTATTTGGATGAACTATAGAAGTTATTAAACAAGAACAGACTATTTAATCCTTACCCAAGTGTCTAATCAATTTCGATAAGGCATAATTACAAAAATCAGGTGTAAAATTTACACCAATTCAAAAATCAGGGACCAAACTTTATTTTTCAAAAATCGGGTAATATATAAACATTCTAACCCTAATTTTTTACCCTACCCCTCTTCTCTCTCTCTCTCTCTCTCTCTCTCTCTCTCTCTCTCTCTCTCTCTCACTACAATCTACATTCTAAATCTCTCATATAATTATACTAATTCAATTTTTATACAATTAATTCATCACTTCATTTATATTCTACTTCTTCCAATTCTTTTTATATTGTATAATTAAATCTACATGCTATATTTTCTCATCATTCTTTCCACCTTCTCATTCCAATTTCATACTTTATTCAAATTCCAAATAGATCACACTAATTGTTTGGAGTATAATGAGTTTGAAGATATATTTGGTGTCGACTCCAACACACCACAAAGTCGAGCTCCCACTTCGTCTTCAGCATTTGATCACAATTTCAGTTGCCTTAATGGATTCCAATTTCCCACTTATTTGGGCGACAAATATGTGCATGAAAGTACCGATCCAATTGATTTAGATGATATCGAGGAAGAAGAAGATCTACATATAGTCGTCTCAGCTAGTAAATGAAGAATGAAGAAACAAACTGATAACTATTGGGAACACTTCAAATGGGTGGTCACATGTCTATTAGATGGAAAGCCAAATTACAAAGCAGTATGCAATATTGCAAAGAAAGATTAGCATGGTAAAAGGTTAATAGAGCAATAATTGATAAATTATATTGGGTTATTAATCCTGATTTTGGTGGTATTTTTTAATGTCCGTTGCATTTATCATATTTTCAATTAATTGTGCAACATGGCTTAAAATTTATTAGTGATCAGATCAACATAATTAGGAAAGCACTAATCTTTATTACAATATCACCTAATAGAAAACAGGTTTTTGAAAAATGTTCTAATGACACGAAGTGGAGGGCAAAAGATTTTTCGCTGAAGTAGGTCATAGATGGAACTCAATTTACATTTTGCTAAAATCTTGTGAAATGTTCCCTGCCTCATCCCCACATTAATGGCAATAAAAAAGGGGGCTGAAAATCCTTAACGAGATGAAGATGAAACGGGGAATGGGGTTCAAGTCCGAATTCGTTCATTGTCATTTCCAGCAGTGTACCGTTGGTTTTACAATATCAATTTAGGTGGCACTAAGTATTATTAAATGTAAGATACAACTAAATGAATCATAAAATTTTACCTTTAATTGAACAAACCACATAATATTATGACTAGTGATCTAGCAGACTAGCACCACTTATTCTAGATAGTATTATTCTTTCTTGAATAGCTCCTCGGGCCATAGTTCAGTGGTGCAAATGATAGGAGTGAGGTAGTCTCAGTTGAGCTGACAGTTATAGTGTGAGGGTTCGATTCATATCTCTTACAAGGTATGGAATTGGACTTTTTGTGAACACCAGTATGACAACTTTTGTACCCTAATCTTTTGAGAAACATCTCGCGATTTACCTCCTCCACAATGCGGGGCGAGGATGTGGAAGGTTGGGGTTCAACCTTTATTATTCTTTCTTGAATAGATGAATAAAGATTCCTTCAAAAATTGTTCACAACTTCCAAAGTGGTAGGGGGCACTTTGGGATGGGGTGAATCTATCACAATCAATCGGTTAGCAAATAATTGGCGTTACATGTTACATAGAGATACGAGTCAAATGAAAAATAATAAAAGAGGAATTAGGGATAAATGGCATGACATTGTCTACGGCGTATGCTCCGTTCAAATCACATGGTGTGCCATTTTGTCTTTTTCTAAGGTTCTATAAATTAATCTATTATTTGATTTCTTTCAATTGCGCGTCTTTAGAATTTGAAATTCAGGTTCTAATATTCACACAATAAAATTTAAAAAGCATGCAAGTACTCCCGTCGCAACATACATTTTGTTGATTAATCATGTACGCCTCAGGTCGTTGAGCGATACTCGGTATTTTAGAACATATTTGATATATAATTATTGATAACATTACATCAAGAGAAACAAAATTTTAATTTGTGGGATTGTTTGAGCCCCATTTTTGTCAACAAAATGCATTTCTGAATATTATATTGATGAGAAATATGTGATTAAAAAAGTAAGAAAAAGTTTTGAGTTTACGTGTAATATTATTTTATTGAAGAATTAATGGTTGAAATGTGATCAAAATTGGCTTAATGAAGCTGCTCAATGACAGTGCGTTCTGTTAAACAACAAAATTGTAGAGGTAAAAAAAAAAGGAAGAAAAAATAATACTATAGGTCAATACATTAAAGTAGATACATGCGCACCAAAACATGGCTTAACTTGAGCATCGTAAGACCTGCACAATAATGGCATTAACACTTCTCCTTAAGGTTGTTGCTATCGCAAATTGAAGAGGTGGAAGTTTTTGAATAAACGAGATTTTGGAAGATTTCGATTTGGGGCAAGAATCATTGTCATCACATCGCCAACCCATTTAACTAAAATGGTGCATCTTTAACACCATCTTATTTACTCTTCTCCAATCTATTACATCAAATTAGGCTTGGACATTATAATTGGAATTGAACTTCCTGAATCAGAATCTCCGATTCCAGTCTAATTTCAAAAATAAATAAATTTGTAATCGAAATTGAGAATTGAGAATTGTAGGTATCCGAATGGAACCAACTTTTTTATGTAATTTTTTATTTATAACTTATAGACTGAGTAAAAAGAATATAAAACCTAAAAACCCTAATTTGGATAGTGATTTGTCTAAAGGACCCTTGTACTCGTACAAAAAAATTGTACAAACTGCATTACAGAAGGTGATGTGGAATTTTTTTTTTTTTTTTAAATAAAAAGGAAACAAAGTTATCAAAACACAGCACATGTGCACACCAGCTGCATCTGTAATGCTCTCTGTGATGCTATTTGTACAAACTTTATCCTTGTCTAAAACTCTAGACTCTAACCTTGAGAAATCAAGATTGACACATACTTTTTTGCCTTTCATCTTTTATCAAATTATTGTATTTCAGAGGTTAATACATGTTAATCTTTGTAATTTGGGTTTTCTATGAATAAAAAATCTCAAGGTGGGTTGTGATGTAAATTGATGAATCAAAGCGTTCATTCCTTACCATTCGAGTTTTTTACTTTAAATTATATATATATAATGTGGCAATTGAACTTGATATATTCATAGCTTGAACTCTTGTGTACTATTTAGTTATCTTGAGTTTGTTGTTCTCTTTTAAAATATATATTTTTTCTTTTTAAATCAAACAGATGGATGTGAATTATAATTTCTTGATTCTATATAGTTACGTATCTAATTTATAATTTTTATGTCAATTCGTTTTAAGAGTAGAAGAATGTAGTAGTGTCCATAATTAAATTATATGATCTAGCATACCCTACTTATGGATCGAATAATATTTATTAATAAAAAATAATTTCTTCTCAAATTATAATTTAATTTTTTAATGTTTTAATTTTCTCTTTTCATTGCTTTTAGTCTCCACTATTTTGCTTCTTGAAGATTTCTTTATTGTATTTTATCCTTTGCACAAATATTGTTGAATAGTAATGTGTTAGGTACATATCTTGAAAAAGTCTATATGAAAATGTTTATTAAATGTATGTAAAAAAAAGTGTCATATGTAAAATCGAGTCCGAACCAGAACCAACTGTTCGAGTTTGAATTTGGTCTTGTTTCATTTATGGAATACCCAAAGTATAAAGGATGGTTCTGAATATTGCAATACCCAGACCGACCTACCGAACGCTTAGACCTACACCAAATGATACATCAAATAAACAATTGTTCCTTTGTTTTCTCATGTTTTTAATTCTCAATAATTAATTTATTTTAAAATTAATCAATTATATATTCTATTAGTACTAAAATTACTAAATCAAAAATTACATTTAATTAACTAAAATAGGAATTTATTAATAATTAAAAAGGCATTACGCTTAGGGCCTAGTTGAGCCCAATTTTTTTTTTTTTTTTGGCCAAAAATGCATTTTGAAATAATGATTTGATGGAAAATGTATAGTTAAAAAATATGAATTTTTTTATGTTTGCGTATAATATTATTGTATTGGAAAATGTATGGTTGAAAATAAAAGAGAGAAAAATATATTTTGAAAATAATGGGATCCAAACAAGGGCTTAATATCACAATTAAAAAATATATGACATTTAACATCACAATATAAATTATATACAATATAAAAATTGTTCATTAAGAAATAAAATGATATAAGAAAATTTTATAATATGAATTATAGCATTCAGGAAACAGAAAACCAAAACTTAAAGATATTCCTAAAATGAAGCATAAAACAAGGCACTAACTAACAACCATTGACTCTCTCAAACACAAAATGAAAAACAAGAATAATTATGACTTATACTAATTTATTTTTGCATTACAGTAACGATCTAAGCATAATTGCGGTAATCCTTCTTCATGAAATCAGTCAATGGGGAACCAACTGATCTTCTTGCAATTTTAGAATACATCTCCCACCATTTCATAAAGGTACTTCGTGGCAAGAAGATCTCAGGGGACACTGCATAGTTCTTTATCAGATCGATCATAAAACCCTCAAATCTAATCAGGTTTTCCTTTGAGGATCTTTGATCTTCTGGACTGCTTTGGCCATCTTTCAGTAAGTCACAAGAGATAACAGCTTCCTCCACATGTGCCCAAAAGCATGAATTCTCAGTAAGACTACAAGCTCTATTCCTCTCAATCGCATTCCCCAACAGCTTGTCCTCGTTAAACCATTGCTCCAAAAGTATATAATGTTCGGATCTTCCTTGAGTTATATAGTCCCTGTGGCCTTTCTTGTAGTAATCAGCTATGTCAAGTGGTTCAACCATTCTTCTATAATTAGTTCCTGCATATAGCCAACGTTTCTGAAATGACGCTCCTTCTTTCTGCGGCATTTTCTTTACTTCAGCAACCATTCTCTTCCAATATTGCGTAAGAATTCTATGACGCTTGATGATTTCTTCTCTGCTTTTGATTTCATCTCTGCTTCCTGATTGTCTGTTCTTGTAACTGTCATAGTACCCGCCCTCTTCCTCTGCTACCTTCTTATACCATTCAAGATATGCCATGTCGACTTTTCTATCATTTAGCTTCTTGTTGGGATCAAATACATTCCTCCTGCGCATTAAGAAATTCTTTGCCCTCGCTGCAGTATTGGTTGTAAGAGAATTCAATACACCGCCGTCCCCCTTTATTTGCAATTATATGAAAAAGCAAGATCAGGGAAATAATGATAGATATAATCATAAAGATATACAAAGTTCTAGAAGTCTTTGATCTAAGTTCTGTTATTTGTAAGAGCACATGTCCATTAAGTTCACATAAAATCCCTTATGCTATGTTTGTTAAGGAGGAATGGGAAGTACTGGACAATATTAAGGAAGGAAAAATGTTAAAAATCTTATTCTTTATAGTGTCTAATGCAGTAAAATACTACATATCATACATACAGTTGGCCTTAGCAGTCCATATTGAGCTATGTGGTGGACAAACTTGTTTCTCAAGCTCTTTAGCTTAAACGATGCAGTAAAATGATTTATTGATTAATTTAGGCTGATTTACCTGTGTTTCAACTCCAATTGTCGTTAGCTGCATGGTGATTCCTGCTAGTAACGGATCCATAATTGAGCCATGTAGTTGTGAAATCCCCCTGTAGATTGATCTATGCTTGAGGTTTTCTAAAATCACCCTATAATCTGTAAAACAAAGGCTGCTTTGTGAAATTTGGTTTCCGACAAATTTTGATCCCATTGCCTTCAATAATTCCAAAGTCGATTCAGGTTCCTCAAAACAAACACATCCTGATTCTGTACACAGGAGAAATATACCAAAGGGCTTGTACAGATGAGTTTGGGAAGTAAAGCCATCAGCAACACTATTACAAGGTGCAATAAAAAGCTGTGGAAATAAGTCTTGATTTGAGACCACATGCAAAAAACTCAAATTCCATGTTGGGCGTTCCGATATGGCTTGCTGGAAACTTTTGTCACCAAGAAGGGGTGACCCAAAAGTGATGCAAAGAGGGCGTTTGGCATTCGGTGACATGCTGTCAAGCAGCCATAAGGTGAAGAGAGATGCGATTGATCCCCCGAGAGAGTGTCCAGTGATTATTAGTGGATTGGAATTGCAATACTGCATTAAAGAACATAAGCAAGAATAAATGTAGGCATTTGCCTCGGCCCAATATGAAAGAAATCCAATATAAACCTGACAAAAACTAGTAGATATGGGAAGCCAGCCACAAAACAATTTCCAAAATCCAATCAAACCCCTGCATCATAATGCTTGTCTATAACTTTCTGAATGCACCTATATAACTAGGTATACAAACGACGTTGACGATACTTGAAATGTGTCTCTTTCTAGACCTCGTCCCTTCAAACAATACAATCTCTTTGATCTGCAACCCAAATCTTTTCTCAATACATGCTTAAGACTTCATTCCCTAACTCTGAGGGTTGGAGGACCAATAACGGGATGCAACCAGCATTACTCCTGACACTTGGTGGTGTTGCAGATTAATGAGATAACAGCATTCGAGAAACAGCAAGACTAAACAAGAACTTTTCGGAGTTATCCTTGTAATTAGGCACAAAATGGCCACTATCATGCACACTATAGACTATAAACTAGAATTGAACAATACAAATATGAGGTAGGCAGTTCTCCAAATGACTAGACAGTGTCCGCATCCAGTACCATAAAACTCATCTCAACTAACAAGACAAAAGGGAAAAGATTGTGCATTCAATTTCGGTCACTATTTTTCTACTCAATCTGCACATCAATGGCAAAGCTCTTCTTTATACGCTTTGTTAGAATTTGGGTGTGACCCGAATTCCCTATTAAAGTATTGAAGAATTTTAATTAAAGTGCACGTCATGAAGAATTCAAATTTGAAATACTATTGGAGTCATATGTCAAGTTGAAGTTCTATTTTGAATGCCAATTGGGAGTTGAAAATTGGTATTGGACTTGAAGGAGAGTTCGAAATGGAGAAAAACACTTTGGAACATTTTTGAAAGAAATTTGCCGGAGACGTAGCACTTAGGAGCGCTAGAGCCCCAGCGCCCAGGCACCCAAGGCGCTACTGCGCTGTTTTCATTTTTCCAATTTTTTCTTTCTTATTTCGTTTTGAACTCGATTTTTTGGCATTCTACTTCATCGACAATTCTACCAAGAGAGTTTGGACGTCCCTTACATGTTTCCTATAAATACTAAACTCTTCTATACAATTTTATAAATGTGAGAAAATTCTCTTTTCTCTATTATTCTTAGTCAATAAAATCTCTTAATTCCTCTGACTATTCTTGGCTTTATTATTCTTTTGCTTCATCATATATTTCAGTTTTATTTGCCATATAACTTCAACATCTCAATCCCACGTCTCAATCCGTAGGTTTGTTTCACAACACACTTGTCTATCAACCCATTAATCCTTAATTTTTTTCAAGTGTGATTGACAATATTGTATAACATTTAAAATATTTGACAGAAGCCATTCATAAAAAAGCCCCAAAATCAACAAAATGAATTGACAGAAAAATATTTCTTGCACCTTACCTGGGCTTTCAGAAGAGTCAACTCATTTAACAGAGACGAAAACACAGTTACGGCTTCTTTATGAACAGAAAACGATCGGTTGACATTTGTTCCAACAAAGCCAAAGAAATCAAAAACCCCTTTCAGTTCTTCCGATGAAACCAAATCCCTATTCACAGTATCTTGATTCGAAGATGCAAAAGCAATTATAGTACCATTTGGGCGATTATCGTACACTTTATACGAAACAGAAGGCGGAGTTAAACCATTGGTATGAATATGATCGTGTCTAAGAATCTCCGAAATTTCCTTCCATGAACGCTGGAGAAGATCTGAGGTTACTATAAGATTTGCGAGTTCTAGTCCACTGCTGAACCTGGAAAAATACAGAAAATTTTGTCATAAATAATAACTGAAGATTGTTAGATTAAAAGAATTTTACTCACAAGCAAAGCTGGTTCATCTTTATTCCTCTTTAGAAGAAGAGCAAACGAGAATATATGAAAACTTATTGTCAACTCAAAGTCAAGCTGCAGACCAGTCAGCTATAATGGAGTTCAGTGCATCAATGGCACAAATTTTAATAACCGTACAACTAATTAAAGTCTAGAATAATGTAGATTAACAATATTAATTGATAACATCCTATTTAACATCATTATATTCAAACATTTTAAAAAACTGTTTTCTACATCACTTCCTAGGATTTTGACAACACGTGATTGTCAACCATTGTTGTCAATAAATATTATACACTTAAATTTATTCTTAAAGTTATTAAGCTTTTGTTTGGTCTACACTATTTTTAAAATACATTTTTCTTTCTTATTTTTAATCATATAAATTTCATAAAATAATATTACACATAAATCAAAATTTCATTTTTTTTATTTTTCATATTGAGCTAATGTATTACCTCTCTTCAAGATTCAATGAATAGAACATTTTACCTTGTTAATTATTTTTTATTCATTGAATCATATAAAATTTAAAACGTTCAAATGAGACTATCTTGCTCCAATTAAGAGTGAACGTTGTCCTCCCTCTCGTAGGTGGGGTTTCTCTCTCTGGGTTTTCCGGAATCCTAGTTTCGACCTCTCGACCCTTGGTCTGTAGAGGTGGTGGGTTTGGGCCCCAGGTGGGGCGGTGGCTGCGTCGCAGCCGGGTTGTTTGTGATGAGGGTTTTGCTTTTTTCGTGGTTGGTTTGGAAGCTCTCCGTCCGTTTGGGGTCAGTTGGCGAGTGAAAGGTTGGGGCCATTCTTGGCGGTTCGTGGGTTGGTGGGTGCTTTTCTTTGTCTGTCCTGCTGTCGTGGTGGTGTTATTGGTTTGCGGTGTTTTCCTTTGGTTGATCGCCGGATTGAGCTCCTTTCCGGTGTTTTCAGTACTGGGCAGCCACCTTCCTTGGAGGAGGCGTGCGTTCTTGAGTATTGTATTCCCAGCCAGACACCATTTTGGTCTGCTTGTCATTGCGGGTAGGAGCTTGGTTTTGGTGGTTCTTTGTGTTGTGTTTGGTGGTTTTTTGGTCTGTTGGTGTGTTTGGAGGTATATATTTGGAGGTCGATAGCTTTGGGCAGCCACCTTCCTTGGCGGGGCTGGTGTTTTGTGGTTTCTTTCCCAGCCGGTTCCAAGTTTAGCCTGCAGTTCTTGGTGGACGGGAGTTTCTGGGCCATGTTTTGGGTGTGATTTTTGGTTTTTTCGTTTTTGTTGTTGTTGTTTGTCTTGTTTGGTCTCTTGCAAAGGGTATACTGAATCTCTCTTAGGAGAGCATAGTGTTGGGGGATTTTCCTCCATGTATCCATCATATTTGCTGTTAGTTGAATATATTGTTCATCTTTGCCTAAAAAAAAAA